CCCAAAAAACCTATACCAAACCAAACCAAAACCCAAACAACGGGAGAATGAGAATTCTTCAGATAAAAGTGCTTGCACTTCATTGCAATTCCTGATTTTGAAGTGACAAGGCAGTGGCTGGTGGTACGGGGGACTCAATTAGATTGATGGCTTGATATAGTACCACAATTACTGTAATTCAATTTGGAGCTTGTTTTGGGTAATATGTTACATAGTAGAATAGTTAAAGCCAGGACAGCTGCTGGAGTTACTGAGATTGAGCTCTTGCAGCCTGAAATATACATAGCTGACTAACTTAGATTTTATTGTTAAATGTCCTGGTGTGGAAATGTATTTTTCTGAAAGATATTTACAGTCAAACTTGTAGTTAAGCATGTTAACTGTTAGATGAGGGTCGAAAAAAAAAGACCAAACCAACAATAATTCTTCGGAGAACATTTTGGTATGCACAGTGCTTAGAGCAGAATCCAGAATAGGGTCGTATTTTACTTGATGTCTGAAACAGTCAGCAAATAACTGCATTATGTATTACAAATTTAGCTAAAGAGTCTAGGTCGAGTCATGATTCTGTTGGTGCATTGGTTGTGATTCTGATGCTGAGTAATTCTGCAGAGTCATGCAGAATGAAAATGTAAGCACTTAGGTCTATTTCAAAGGTAATAAAGATTTGAACATTAGTCCAAATAGCTGTGTAGCTGCAATTTGTGTGCTCCCATGCTGTTTGTTTGGAATAAATAAAAGTTTGGGGTAGTAGATAAAGGGTAAAGTTGAGGGTAATGCTGCTTCTTATTTTCTAGAAAATATTATTTTTGCTTAAGATCTGAAAATTTTATACCTGCTAAGAGTTCTGATTTTTATTACAGTAACATTTAAGAAATGTTATTAACTTGTCTGATGTGAAAAGCCTATTTGAAGAAAAAGAGAGTTCATTATTACACTTATAAAGGCATATCTTCTGTGCATTTCTGTTGGAAGAAAAGAGCAGAATTAGATGTTGCAGAAAGCCTCACAGGAGGAGGAAAGAAATCAGCTACAATTTCAGCTAGGCGAGACTGGCAGAGAAACATGTATGTGCTGTTCATGTACTGTTTGATACCATAGCTTTGGCATAAAATTTTAAAATTCCTGCT